TGAAAATATATTTGTTATTAATTTATAATACAATGAATAGTTATTTTTTGCATCAATAATAAAAGAAATACTATTTATAATTGTATACTAGATTTAGATCAAATATTTAAGTATTCATAAACTCTGACTAATTATTAATTTATAATCAACTACTTAAAAGCTTTGAAGTGTGTATTTATTAAAATAAGTATCATTAGCAGCTGTAAGACAACTCTAACTATTAAACTAGCACTGATGTAAAGTTATTTTAAAAGTTGAAATTAAAAAAAAATAATAATGAACAATTAAAATTCGTAGGATAGATGGTTAAGTAGGGAGATTTTTTTTATTACTTCAATAGATTTGAATAAATTCACAAAGTCAACTAACACATTAGAAAGAGAATAATGCAAATTTCAATACAAAGAAAATTTTATAATTTTGAAATTAATATTGGTTTCTTATTACTTCAAACAGAAGTAAATGTAAACTATACAAATCAATACTCTCAACATATGACAACAATCTCACAACACAAACATTAAATATTGCTTAAAATAGCTCATATAAAAGTAAAAAAAAGGCAAATATAGAGCACAAGACACAACCTTTGACAGAGAAATTCAAGGCATTTAGTTTCAAAAGAATCTTATTCTGCTTTAAATAATTTCAAAAAATAGACAAAAATATCTGACCGATACCTTTGAATTCTGGTGTAAATTTGGAAGAAGAAAAAAAAAACTAAAGTTGTATTTCATAACTCTTTAGTTTTTTTTTTAATACAAAAATCATTTTAGTTTTTAAATAAAATAAAGAAAAATAATTTTGTACCGAATTTGTTTTGGTACCAACTGGATTTTATTTCTTCTTTTTTAACTAATAAAAAAGTAAAACAGTTAAATTTAATTAAAATTTTTGAAAATAAAAAACTTATGCAACTAATTTCAACCAGGAACATTACAAAAGTTTCAAGACTAGACACATAACTTGGTAAAAAAATGGGGGAAAAGTTTAAAAACAGTGAATCAAAGTTTTAAACTAAATGCCTCATTCCTGAAGGAATTCACAATAAATTTTCATTCATCTTAACTATCATGTGGAAAACGAAATATATTTTAAGACAAACAAGAATGAGATAAAATACAAATCCTTAAATGAAAATGTTTCACATTTAAGCAAAAACCAAAATGTTTTTGAGTTCCACTGATAAGCTATAAACGTTAATAATGAAAGTAGTAGACTTTTAAACCTCAAGCAATAGATATTACAATATTGTTGAAAAAAATAGAAAAACATTTCAAAGCAGATAAATAGATAATAGAGAGAAAATATAGTTTAAGCCTCACATAAAGAAATGCTCGATAAGATGCTAGCCTTCTGAATAGAAAAATAGGCACCATAGTTGAATACTGAAGCAAAAACACGATTTAACTATTTTTTCATGCACATTTCTTTTCGTATCAGGCATTTCATATAGATATCATATAGTATATTTGATAAAATAAAGTTACACGAATATGGCAACAGTTAGTTAAAGGGCAGTAAGATTCGTTGTTTATGTCTGCAAACAGATTGTAGCATCAAAAGAGAAATACCTAAGCTCAACAACATTTGCAGTTTTTCAGAAAAAAAGTTTATAAGGTATTAATGAAGTACTAGAATTGGGTGATTAAGTGCTTAGTATTTACATACGGAGTTGATTGTTGGAACTTGGAATTCTAAGTATATTTCACAGCATCTTTTTAGAGAAGTAACTATTATTTCGTGATATTACACTTTCAGAAACCATAATTTTTGCAATAAAATGTATACAAACATGTAGGCAAACAGAACCTTAATTAAAACACCTAAAAAGAATATATGTTTTGATTATCTTCAAAAATGTATTTAGTACTTTTTTAAAGCTAACCAATATTTTCTAGCAAAGTATTATTGATAATAAAATTTTCAAACCAGATTTGGCATGTAAAAAATATGTAGCTCAAATAAGATCAAACAAATTATATTGCACCAAGAGTTAAGTAATTAAATGAGTTAGAACAATAATTTAATATGGAATAATAAGACTGGAAAATTGTACAAAAAATGTAATGCATTTAAGACAGTGAGAAATTATATATATTTTTTAAAAATCCTGTACAAAAATGGGGGAAAAAACCCAACTCAATCCCAATTTTCTTAAAATAAATTTTTCTCAATTAATTCTGCACATATTCTTTAGCCATTCTGCAGTAATCTTGAGTAAAATCAGTTCCTTCCACAGGGTTTGCACTTTTCTTAAACAAGTGACTATATTGTAATAACAAAGTAACAATATTGTAAAACAAGTGACAATATTGCAATATAAAAGTTATAGATTTCTTTTTATTAGTTTTCACTTTAAATTTAAAAATTCTTTTTCTTTGATTTTGCAATTAGACATACTTATTTTGAAATACTAAGCTTTGAATACAAACAATTTAAAATATATCTTACGTTCCTAGTTTAGCAACTACATTTACGTTTTTTAAGGATCCTCTGCTCCAGTATAAGAGATATCTGTCAATGCCTGAATGAGAAATGTTTTTGCCTTCCGTGTAAAAATGTGAAAAAGAATATTGTTGCTTTTAGATTAAATATCTTGATTCAAGAATTAACTTTAGTTAACTATATAATTAGCAAGTTTTAAGTTATTTTTGACTTGTTAGAAATTTCAAACAATTTAGTTTAGAACAAACAGTTAACATAGCATTCATAATTTTAATATGACAAAGTTAGAAACTAAGATATTACATAAGTTTATGGCACTCATTAACAATGATCATTTATAGATTGAAATAACTATAAAAAAAATTTTCAAGCTCACTGTGAATTCACTTGAAAATTACATCACTTTTTGAATGGATTTATATAATTGTCAACATAACAATTGGTGATTACCAAACCAAGTTTTACGTACACATTTACTTCATTAATGAAAATAATTACTATGCAAAATGGTATTTTAGAAATAGCTGTAAGGTAGTGTGAAAAAAAAATAGATATTTAAAAAAAAATCTTATTTAAAATTTTATGGTCACCTTACCTGTATACAATTTACTATTATGTTGCAGCATTCAACCCTTTAACTGCTATACTACAAGGGCAATTTGTACAAAAAGCTTCGTGCCAAGCACAGCCTCACCAATGAGTAATATGAGAGAAAACTGGGTTTTTGTACAACCAGCATGTATCCCAAACTGAGTTCAAGATCAATAGCTAAGGGTTAAAACAACTGTAAAATTTAATGCATGGTATATATACCTTAGTAAAATAGAATTAAAAATTAGGAAAACAGTTATAATCTAATATTTTGGCACATCAACATTGCTCAAGCAGTTTTTCTTATTTCGGTAAAGTCGAGCAAAGTAATATTATAGGATCTATTTTAGTATGAAAGAGTTATGAAAAGTATTATGAAAAACTTAATTTTTAAGCAGACCTTTAACTGAACTATTTTTACTCACGTTTCAACAAAACTAAAAAAAAATTTAAAAAATGACAAAAAGTAAAATATTTAACAATTCAAAAAGTTGCTAAAGCAAAAAAAAAAAAAAAAAAAAAAAAAAAAAAAAAAAAAAAAAAAAAAAAATAATAAAATAAAATTAAAAAAAAATCAAATTCCGTAAATAAAAATATAAAGGCTACTTAAAACAGGTTAATTAAATGAGGATAGTTAAAAAAATTTTATGAAAACTCTCATCTAATCAATTTATCTAATGCAGTTAAAAACATTTAAATAATAAGAAAAAGAAAGCATTTAGAGAAATGTTAAAATAAACGAACATAAAAATATAATACTTACTATGAAATACTAATAATACCCTTAAAAGAAAGACGAAAATCTTTCATATAGCAATGTTTAAAGTCTTACTGAAGAAAGAAACTAATTTTTAAGTTAGACTCAAACAATTCTCTTTTATACGAATAAAATGTTAATATTATTGTTTCTAAGTAAAATCATTTAAAACACTAGATATTGTCAGGTATTTTAAAACACAGGTTACTAAAAATCATAAGCAAAAACTAACAAATTTAAATTACTGAGGAATATGAAAAACATTTTATAACAAAAGCAAAAATATAAAATGAATTATTTTTAAAATTAAAAAAATTTCCTAAATTTAAAAAAATAAAAATTCATAATTAAAAAAATAGCAAGACATTTGGAAGTATGACACGACAAAAAGTTAACAAAATTGAGGTTATCGAATTAACTTAAAAATACTGTTACAATACTAAGATGAAAAAAAAATCATACTAATGAAAAATAGTTGGCATAGCTCACACAATGGAAAATACTAAATATAGTATCACAGTATATAGGTACTCATACCAATAAATAACATGGATCAGGCACAATGATCCAGTCTTGCTTATCAAGCAGAGTTAAAAGTCTTATCCAGTTCAAAATGTTTGATGAATGAATGAAACTGTATATAGTGGTAGATGGTACAATGAATGCAGAAAACTAATAATTTTCCATTTTGATGTTTGAACTAAGAGCTTTAAATGGAAAATGATAAACATGAAAATTTGTAACTAAAAGCACTAAAAAGAAATGCATACTCATGGGAATTTTTACAAGAGTACAGAAGGCACCTTTATTCTTTTTTCATACTGTGAAATAAGTAACATTATAAATAATATTGCCACTCATTATATAGGACTAATACTTTGTAACTCTCTGGCAGCTAAATATGTAGAAAGTCACTTTTAGAGCTGTATTCTTCTCTGCATAGCAAATCAAGCATTCCAATATCATTAGATAAGGAAATGGCATATCAAGAAGAAACTTTTCTCCAAAATTGCTTACTAACACGACAGCAAGAGAGTTAACAAGTTTTCAATGTACAATTTATATTATGTAACAAAATATTAAGAAAAATATATAATGATATTTTCCAGCAAACCATTACAGTTTTTTAAGAATGAAATATTTAATAACAATTATTAACTTTTATAAAATATTATTTATTTTAATTGTTAATGTAAATAACATACTTAAATATGAATACATATTATATATACAAGTGAAATGTTCAAAACAATTTTGTTTCAATTTTACAAAACAGCAAATTAGTGCACAGCACAACATATAAGATGGTTCATGCCTAGGGAATTTTAGGGATTTATTATAGGAATAAAATACAAAAACATACCATAATGATAAGGACAGAATTCAAAATGATTATAATTTTTAATTTTTGTAAAATTCATAATTTTGTATTTCTATAATTTTGAGTTCTAGGACATTTTGCTGTAAGGATTTTTATTTTTTGTGATATTAAAAAATTTGTATTTTCATTATTCTGAGTTCTAGGACATTTTGTGTAAAGATTTTTTCTCAATTCCTCAGTTTGAGGTAATTTTTCTTAAATATGCGAAAATTTGGGTGAAATTTTGATTGGACAAGATCATGAGAAATTTGCAAAATCTAGAGGATTTTGTAGCTGCGTATGTTTTTGTGAAATTGAACTTAGAAAATTACATAGAACTGGAGTGCAAAATTAAAATCAGTTTATAAAAGTTTAATCAAAACAAAGATAATGAGTATTAAACAGGTGCAATGTGAAGTTAACAAAATGATAAAAATAGAGCATGATCTTTTGAAACAAAAGTTAATGACAAAATATAAATAACAAATGCGGTATTGCCACATGAACACAAAAGTACTAATGACTAACGTGCAGTTTTAACATATTTTTAAATTTTACATAAATTCAAAAGCATATTAAACAAGCTTTGTACTCCAGAAAATTGCCTACTGTGAAAGCAATTGAAATATTAATACAACATTTGCACGTAAATTAAGACATAGAAATATCTTAAATGTTTTATAACAGACAAGACACGTTAGTTATGTTATTCTAAAACAAAAACACAGAAAATCTTCATAATATATTTAACTAAATTTTATGAAAATTTTTTACAGATAATATTTAGAGCATCAACCAAATGAGAGTACGTATAACTAAAAATATCTTATTTTATACCATTATAATAGAAAAAAAAATAACAGGGTATAAATATTATACCATAAAATATCAAATCAAAACAGTTAAGTAAAGCATTTAAAGACTCTGTTTTTATTTGCACAAAAGTCTTTAAATATTAGTAAACTTTTACTTAAAGAAAAGATTTCAAATTATTCCTAATCAAAAGTACTTAAGATCTATTTACTAATAATTTTTTTCACATGAAAATGTGTATGAATAATTTAACTAGCTAATCTTAACAGTGTAATAAAAAACTTTTAAGTTCCTTGAAAGGAATAATGTTAGTTTGTTATAAATATCAGAAAACACAACTATAACAGAGATTCAAAGACTAAAGTGGAAAACAAATTTACACATGAACAAATGTTAATGATATAAAAAGTAGTTTATATGATATGTATTTTTCTAACGATGCCAAATAACAATTTTTTTAAACAATTTAAACAGCAGAACTAACACAGTAACAGAAAAATTACAGAATAGAACTATTTTTATGCCTCAAAAATTATTCTTTAACAAAAGATTAGGCCTCTGAAGGAAATAATAGCCTCGTTCGTTCATTACTTTGTTCTGCAGATCCATTAACAGCATTTTTCTTTTTATCATTTACACCATCTTGTATCAAATGTTCACAGACTTCAATTGAATCACAATGTTCATCTTCAACAACACTATTTAAGTTATGAGGCATATCAATCATTGGAATTTCTGAAGTATTTAGAGCATTTACTTTTGATAAGGACTCTTTACTTTTTTGTTTTTTTAAAACACAATCAATTCCTGAGACTCCAGGACGACTTATACAGCCCACTTCCACACTGGCACGCCTTGTTACAGCATCATTATCAACAGATGCAGTTCTGTTCACAAGAGGACTCGACTGAATCCATTTTTTATTAAATTGGGAGGAATTATCACTATTGGAACTAGAACATGCTGGCAATCGATTTAATGATCCAGATTTAGGAATCCAGACACTTTGATCCCAACATGTGTTGTGAAATATTTCTATTTGTTCAGGGTCTAACTTATGGTGTCTTTCCATTAATGTAGCTCTATAAGCAGCTAAGTACACAGCCCAATGAATTTTCATATAAAGTATTTCTGTTATGGCCACTACAGTATAGTCAGGATTGAAGGTTTTTAAAGTTGGATTCTCAGTTGTTACAGCTGATGCAACAGATATACTTGATAAACTTTGTCCACGTGCTTGTTGTGATGAGGCATCTAAAAATTTAAGTGGTTTGAATCAATTTTATACAAGTATTGAATATACTTCTAATTGAAATACCTCATTTATATATGAATAGAAAATAATATACCATAGGGTATGAATTAGTACATTGAATAAATATAAATTAAAGGCAGAAATTATTTCGTCCTTGAATTTATCAGATCTTAATCTAGGTTTTTAAATATGGAAAATTCCATACAAATTTGCAAATGCTGAATAAACTTAAGAGGAACTATATCGAATAGCAATAATAGTTTTAGATCAATTACACTATTATAACTGCCAAAATTTATGCTTTCTATTTATGTCTTGCATTTTTAAATTTAATTTTAATTGATTTGGACCATCACCATTAATGAAAGAATTAGACATGTAAATAAATATATGACATTAACCTGACAGTATAGTGTGTTCAAGCTACCACAAAATATTAAATATATTTATACTTATAACTGTAATTCAATTGTCATTATAATACCACTGGGGGAAATCCTCCTTGGAAGAATTAAAAGTTGGCAAGTATGCACTATCTTTTCTATGTAAGAATAATTATCGCAGGTCTAGTTGAACCTCAAAAATTTCATTTGCTCATTTATTAATTGTAAAAATGCCTTATATGATAGTAGTTGATGAAATTAAAACACTTGTTTCAAGTCAGATATTTCAGATTAAAAATAAAATGAAATTTAGTATCTTTTCTTTTCATCAATATTTCAACTTTTTTAATTATCATATGTGTATTTGAATTCTAATAAACATTCTAACGATTTAGTTAAAATATAATTAATATTTTTTATATTCTGATACCATAGACACCAGCAGAAAAAAACTGCAGGTCCGTAATACCACCATTGGAATTTTACATAAAAAAATAGCAATAAAGTTAAGATTTTGATCAAGGACTGAAATTCAGCAGATTAGATTTTTACATTAAGTTTTATCACTTCCTTCACACATAAAATTACCATGATTGTCATAGAAATATGGAACTGTAATATAGAACGAGCTTTATCTCCAGGTGTATGCATGAATCATGCAACTATAAATTAAAATAGTCCTAATTTAAAACTTTTATTATTATTATTCGAACAAGTTTATGGATAGTAAAAGCAACATCCACACAATTATAAAATGCTGAGAAAATTTAAAAAAAAGTACCACTTGAAAAACTTACAAATCCCAGAACTTATATGAAACTTGAAATAATGCTAAATTTCAAATAAATAATTTGTTACAAGTTGTTATAAACAGTAATATTGTTGTACAACAATAGACATTCTTATAAAAACTAAAATAAATATATAAATAATATAATATGCTTTTCATAATTTACTCTGAAGTTCAAAAAAAAAAAAAAATTACGTAGGATAAAAGAAATTTGATTTTAATTTACTTTCAACCATCCAATTTTTTTTTTTACATTTAAGGATTAACATAAGTGTAAAATTTAAGGATTAACTTATGAGAGACAAGATAAATAAATTTATTATAATCAAGATAAATTCTGCATATTTCAATTTATATATCAAATAAATGTACCAGTTTTTAAATATTATAATTAATATCCATTGATACAAGGTATTTTTAAATTAAATATTACAAAAAGTTCAATGCTTCATAAGATAAAAAAAAACTAGTGTATTTTACAAGTTATTAAAATAAAATTTATGCGTGTCATTAAGGTAAAATATTACTTCATTCATAAGAAACAACAGTTATAGCTTACAAATCTAATGAAACCATAATGTTAAAATAAACAAACCTGGGCTAACAGTAACTGTGATTGCAGGTATTCCAAAGTAGCTAAAAGGCCCAGTTTCAAAAACTAAGTTTTCTTTACAAACAGTCACACGACATCGGCCTTCCAAAATAAGCACAAAATAATCAGCTGGTTTACCAGCTTGATACAATATACCATTAGAATTCGGACCATCCTTTACTTGTTTTGACTTGAAGAATATATTTTGGGTAAGAAGTCTTTTCAGTACTGTTTCAGAAAGGTAATTATTCCTGAAGGGTTCGATTGCTGAAAATAAGTAATGGCACAAGTCAATATTTAAGAAAGAATATTAGTTATTCAACCTTAAACTCTCCTTTTCAACAATTCACATTTTTATATCATAATCTCTTAAAGAATCGAAAACAGACATACATAAAACAGTAGCTACAACAGTTTACAGTGCAAATAATGAAACAATCTTAGTTAAAAAGCTTTAAGGCAAATAGTATATTTGGATATGTAGTGACTGGAAATTTAGATTCAATAAATGAAACAAAGATTCACTGTGGTTTGATTCGCAATGAGGACATAAATAAAACATTAGAAAAAATCTGGCAATTAGAGAATGTAGAAGAAACAAAAACTAAAAGTAAAGAAAATTTAATTTGTGAGGAACAATTTGCAGATACACATTTTAGAGTTAAGGAAGGGAAATATGTTGTTTCAATGCCCCTAAAAGAAGATCCCTGTGATGCCAGAATTGGCATACACATATTTATTTTCTATCTTTTAAAATATCTTTCATTACTTAGGCGGATTTTTATTAATAGAATTATATTTAAAATAAATCACAAACTTAATCTTTTTAAAACAAACATAAAATATTTATTTCTTCTCTTCCAGATCAATGTAACGGATATTTTTTTATTTCATTACTAATGCAGACTTATATATTCACTGTCGCCTTTAATCGAAAACAAAAATCTATTTATAACTTTTTATTCTAATTTTCCAACGGCTAAATGTTTCGGTTGCATGGTTGTAATAATTCACATAAATTTGTTGGCGACTCGTGATCGCCAAGGTATTATTTTAA